AGCAGTTGTGTCTAATGTCAATTTTTCACATAACTGAGAAGCGGCTGAAAAGAGAAAGGAAATTCTCCAAGTTTCTTTTTTTTTTAGATTTTTAAAAAGATTTATTTATTTGAGAGAGAGAGAGAGTGCAAGTGGTAGGGGAGGGACAGAGGGAGAGGGAGAGAATCCTCAAGCAGACTCCCTGCTGAGCACGGAGCCTGACGTGGGGTTCAATCCCAGGACCCCAAGATCATGACCTGAGTTGAAATCAAGAGTCAACCACTCAACCAACTGAGCCACCCAGGTGCCCCAAAATTCTCCAAGTTTCGACTATATTTAGAACCCTTTGGGTCTAGTGACCTTTCAGAATGCAAGTATGGTGATCTCTCACTCGTGGCCACCGTGACACCTCATGGTATACTAATGAATCTCTGCTTAAACCCACTGACCTCTGACCTTGACATATCTCTTGATAGACTAGGTACGTCAGAAAATCATATTTACCTTGCATTCCTCATCCAGCAAATCTAGAATGCCCAGTTTAGATTCTATAAGATTAATGCAAGGCTGATTATCATAAAAATCTATGAGTGTCCATGGAATTTGTTCCTTCATATATTCTTCCTGTTCTAATTTGAAGACATGCTGAAATGAAAAAGAAAAAAAAAAACTGGCATTACTGTATCATTATAAGTAATGTTAGTCAAGAAACAACATTTATAGAAAACACTCTAAGAGGATACAAACATAATATGAGATAGTCCATGGCTTCCGGCAACAATAATCTTGTGGGAGGAACATGTTTTACACACGGAGAGTGATATAAAAAGCAAATAAAAACCACAGATAGTAAAGCCTCAGCTATATAGGATGCTTGGTAAACAAGTAAATCTAGGTATGTAGATGTGTTAAACAGCTGACAAATGTAGGAATCTTCAATTTTTTTTATATGTATACATCCAACACTGCACAATATACTTTTTGGCCTCAAATTATTGCACAGTGCTGCTAACAATGCCTTAGCTGGCCTTGGACTATGCAGAGCAGATGCCCCTTAGACTACTGAACCATGCCGGGTGACGCTTACAGCACAGCAAAGTAATTCTCTTAAGGTACAGTGATGTTGAAGTTCACGTGCCTCAGAATTAGATAACAGTGTTTTATGTCTGCCTCTATTATTTTCCAGAGTCAGGGGATCTACAGCTCAATTTTCTGAATTCTACATCCAATGCTGCAAGCAGCTGCAACAAGGACCAATCCATTGCTCTTTCTGCTAAATGTTTTAGCCACCATCCTCACCATTGCTTCTAATCCCCATTCGCTCATTTAAACAAAAATATATATCGACCGTCTACTATGTGCCAGTCACTGCACACCATTAACAAAGTAGATGTGGGTTCTGCCCTCAGGGAGTTTAACTAGTGGGAAACACAGACAGAAATCAAATAATCACAAAGAATCACAAACTGTAGTAATTTTACAGAGGAAAATAATGTAAGCTATGAGAGCAAGAATCCAAGAATCGTCATCCAGTTTGGATATAGGGTGGTGAGGAAAGGCTTTCCTCCTATCACTCCTTCCTGTGTGATAGGAGCTCTGCAGATGAATGATTGTTAAGTTAGTCTAGATGGAAGGGCAATCCAATCCCTGATACAGTTCTTGCTTCAGGCTGCCCAACCAATATAGCAACCCACAACTTCTAGTGTCTATAAGATGTTAATGACCTCTACTCTTTGTTCTTGGGGATTTCTGCTTTCCTTTGTTCTTTTGTGTCCCTTCTTCTCTCAGATATTTTGATGCTTTTTCTGGAAAGAACAGCCCCCTGTGACTTTGACCAAACAACACATATTTTCTAGGACCCGAAGACCCATGAAACTAGGTGTCACCAAGATTTCTGATACATATTCTCCTTGTGCACTTGGAACTTTCTCACTTTATTCTGTACTTATTATAATGCCCCTCTTGGCTCATTTGCAGCATTTACCAGCTGCAATAAGCTTCAGCAATTTAAAAAAAAAACAAACAAAATGGTCACCCATATGAATATTTATGTCATGTTGATCAGAAAGCAAATTTCTTCTGCTCTTATGATGAATGAGAAGGCAAACAGGGCACGTGTCAGCAGGATGCCCTGACTGATGGCACCAATATTTTCCAAAGCAATGAGCCCTGTTCTTTTTTTAATTCAATAATTTATACGCAATCTCCACACTGACAGAAACACTGATCCAGATTTTAAATAGAGTTTGTTTCTTATACACATTTCTATGCCTAGTTTGGAAAAGTCCATGAGGCCTCAGAAATTTTGGATACTCAATTGTCAAAAAGACAATGTGGGCATGAGCTAGAGATCCTTGGTCAATATGTAATGACTGCGAGCTGTAAAAATGCCGATCATCATGTTTTTCATGCCCCCTGCACCACCCATAATCCCTGCCAACGGAGTGGCCCAAAGCAGCCAAGTTCTTTACTGGGAAACCCCATCTTCCTAGTCACAGCTAGTCAAATGCTAGAGATCTGTGATGGAAAAATGAATGAAGTTAACCAGATTCTCTTTCTCAGGTGTAAGAATTTTGATATGGGTGAGAGGAGAGGGGTGCCTGGGTGGCTCAGTTGGTTAGGTGTCCAACTCTTGATTTCAGCTCAAGTCATGATCCCAGGGTTGTGGGATCGAGCCCCGCATTGGGCTCTGTGCTTGGTGTGGAGCCTGCTTCAGATTTTCTCTCTCTTTCTCTCTCTGCTCCTCCCCTCGCTCTCCCTCTCTCTCCAGGGCCGGGGCAGGGGTGGGGAGAGGATGAGAGGAGCAATCCAACCACTGCTGGGTTCACAGGGAGCCTGAAGTGATTGAGGAAGCAGAAACCTTGAGAAAATATATACAAAATAAAAGGGAAGAATAAGTCATCTGATAGTAAGAGGGAGTGGAGCAGCTATGCAGAGAGAAGCTAAGATGCAGTATAGTGTGTGTGTGTGAGAGAGAGACAGAGAAGGACAAACAGCCTTGATAGAGGCAGAGGGAAAGATAAAGAGAAACAAGAGAGTCAGAAACACACATGCAAAGACATGGGGTGCTTGTCAAACAGACAGATGAGCCAATCCCTAATGAGGGCAGTGTTGGTTCCTCATATTTACAGTCATCTTGTGCCAAAACATACTAGGAAAGAGCAGGGGCTGTGGATGATTAAAGTATTAATCTCAGTAAAACCTTGAAAAAGATAATGCTCAGTTTAGTCTCTGATAGGTTTTTATTAATGTTTCTTATGTAAAGATGAGAAATACACCAATCACATTCTTATGGAAACAGTCATAAGCTTAAGGCCTGAAGATCACCTCTGCATTATTTCACTGTGCTAAGTAGCTTATTAACTTGCTAAATAAAGATGGTCCAAATTTTCATCAGAGTATATGCAATATTTTTTAAAAAATCAAACAGTCTGGGGCGCCTGGGTGGCTCAGTTGGTTAAGCGACTGCCTTCGGCTCAGGTCATGATCCTGGAGTCCTGGGATCGAGTCTCGCATCGGGCTCCCTGCTCAGCAGGGAGTCTGCTTCTCCCTCTGGCCCTCTTCTCTCTCGTGCTCTCATTCTCTCTCTCTCAGATAAATAAATAAAATCTTTAAAAAAAAAATCAGTCTGAAGGTTTGATGATGACAAGCAACAATACCTTGTCCCATCCCTCAACCCAGTCTCACTCTCTGGAGGAAGCCATTTTTAACTTCCTTAGTTATTTCTTCTGATATTTACCTCTAAAGAATATGTTTATCCACTATTTTTTTATGTATTCGTTGGAAACATCATCTATTGATTTCTTGAAGAGACAGATGAGGCTAAATTCATATATATCACCTCTCTACTGAGACCCTCCCCAGCCCTCCCAATATTACTACTTTTATTTCTTCTGATTTTTACTAATTTTGTAACTTAAAATACCTTTAAATTTCTATTTTTTGTTCATTAACTATAGACCATGCCACTTGTCCTCTCTCTTTATAAAATGAGGATACTAAGGGCTCTTTTCCTGTCCTTCAGCTCTCTTCTCTTCCATCTTCACCTTCTGTGGGTGACTTTTTTGTTTTTTGTTTTGTTTTTTGGGTGACTCATTTTTAAGATTTTATCTAGAGAGAGACACAGCGAGAGAGGGAACACAAGCAGGAGGGAGTGGGAGAGGGAGAAGCAGGCTTCCCGCTGAGCAAAGAGCCCAATGCAGGGCTTGATCCCAGGACCCTGGGACCATGACCTGAGCCGAAGGCAGATGCTTAACAAATGAGCCACCTAGGCGCCCCTGGGTGACTCATTTTCAATATCCTCTTTCATCAGTACTAATAACCATCCCTAATCTTGCACTTAGAACTGTACCTGGCATGTGTTGATAACTTTACATATCCTAACTCATTTAATCTATACAACCATATTGCAGTAGGTACTATCATCCCCATTATACAGATGAGGAGACTAGGGCCCAGGAGGGTCAATTAACTTGCCCAAGGTCGCATGAATAATCAATGCAGAATGCAATTCCAACCCAAGCAGTTTACTTTGGAGGTCTATGATCTTCACCATTACAATCTACTGCCCCTCATTTTTAAATATCCTGAAATTCCCCAATACCATGATAATGCTTGATGATATTTGATATTACTACTCCACAAGAGCCATTCTCAAAATATTCCCATTGCCACTGTTGTGGTGAATGTCTTAGACTATTGAAAAGAGAGTATATAAAATAGAATATGTAAAAAAAATACATAGAAAAGAGAGTGCGTTCTGATTTTTCATGCTGGCATCTTGCGTATACAGCAAGTAGGAGTTAAGATAGTCTTCACTCTACAGGAACAACACACTGAAGGATATCCTGGGCTCCAAACTTCAAACTGCCTATGTTACTACCTAACACATTCTCTGCTTCCATCACTCAATTTATTTCAACCAAATTTTTACTATTCCCAGGTTGTAATCTGAAGATCACCTTGAATCCTATCTGGGCCATACACCTTTCTTTAACATTGCACTCATTTATTAATCATAAGTTCCTCAGCAGCTCAGCTGTTCTAAAGCCCACATAATAATTGCAATTTACAACCTCATTTCAGAAACTAGACTTAAAACACAGAGTGGGAATTCAAAAGAATTAACTTATAAGAGAAATTGGTTGAAAAAGAAAATTCTTACCATATTGAATTGTTGTTGTAGTTTTTCATTTGCATAATTTATGCAAAACTGTTCAAAACTATTTATCTCAAATGTTTCAAATCTGTAAAACCAAAAATAATATGTGAAGAAGAGAAAAAGAAACAAACAGCTTTTTAAAATATTCAAAATGTGCCCATTAGAAAGAAAGAAATGGGAAATTTCTCAACATTTTGAAACCTTTTTTCCATATCAGTGAAGATAAAGGTTTATAAATCAGTAACATGGAATCTATACCCAGCAGATAGGCATCAGCCACATAGCAGAGAGATTTTTTTAAAGGCTCCAGCATGCAGAGGTATGTATATATGTATTTATTTATTTTATTACTATTTTTTTAAGAGGTATTTAACAGTATGAGTTTTTGAGGGCTAATTCATCCCCAGGTGGGGAACAATCAGAATTATGATAAACCTATTGCTCTTGTCAATTTACAGATTCAGTGTCTAAATATTCACATAAAAAAGTACTGGGAACAGAGATCTCATAGGTTCTTTTGAAAAACTAAACAATAAAAAAAATTAGGCATTAAAAAGCAGAAATGTATAGGAAAGGTATTAACAGCTAAAGGAGGGTACCCAGAGGGGCGCCTGGGTGGCTCAGTGGTTAAGCGTCAGCCTTCAACTCAGGTTATGATTCCGGAGCCTCAGGATCGAGGCCTGCACTGGGTTCCCTGCTTATCTGGGAGTCTGCTTCTCCCTCTGGCCCTCCCCCTGCTCATGCTCTCTCTCGCTCTCTCTCTTTCAAATAAATAAATAAAATCTTTAAAGGAGGGTACCCAGAGAAGGCAAACTAGCAAATGAAATAAGATTTTTAGAAATGCTCTTCTAATTTTTTCTCCTTACCAGTAGGAGACAGAATCTAGTACCCACTCAGAGTTACTAGATAATCTCTAGAAAGAAATGCTCTGTGGCTGACCATTAAGCCAAATACACTTACCCGTATATGTCCAGTACTCCAATAAAAGAGTGTTGTTTGACAGCAGAATGGAGGGCCTGATTGACATGATCTACAATCCAGCTAAAGAGCTTGGCATAAATGTGCTTGGCCAAAGCATCACGGGCATTCGTGGCCTGAAGCTTCGAGATGGGCTTGATATATGTCTCTGTGGCGGTAGCCAGTTTCCGATGGCAGAGCCAGTGACACATCTCTTCATAGTCCACGCCCATAAGGTCAGAGAAGATGCTGAGAGGTTCATGCTTGGGCTGACAAAAGAGAGTGGGTTATTTCCTATGACCAAATCAATCAAATAAGAATTTACTAAAAAAACACTAACAAAGAAGTAACAAATAAAACCCAGCAATTTCTTTGTTATAACGAACACGCAGATCACTTGAAGCTGGTCGGTGATAATAATCACAGTCATCCATTAGACCAGCATCTAGACAGCATTTTATAACCTCTTCTAGGGCTCGTTTCACAAACTACATCTTCTTTTGTCTCTTTGCTGTTATTTGTTTGTATCTGTCTCCAGGCACCTTCATTCAGTCAGTTGATTAGAAGACCTGTCAGCTTGTCAACAAATATTTACTGAGTGCCTACAATATGCCAGTAAATAAAACCAAACATTGCCCCTATCTTCCTAGAACTTACAGTCACTAGGAGAAATGGATATTAGTCAAACAACTGCTCCCTAACATGTAAAATTACTGCAGAGAACAAGGTACTATCCTATGATTCCATATGAAAGGAGTGTGCTCTACTCAGGAGGCAGGCTCTACTCCATATGAAAGGAGTGTGCTCTACTCTGTTGCCTTGAGAAACAGAGTTGAAATCTGAAAGATGGGAAAGTATTAACTCGGTGAAAGGGGGAAAAAAGGATCTTCAAGCTGAGGGCACAGCTGGTATAAAAGTCCTGTGGTGGGAGAAAACTATAGTATGGGGGACTAACGCTGAGTGAGGGAGAAAATATCTGAGATGAAGCCAGAGAGACAGGCAGAGGCTACACCATGGCTGATCTTTATCCTGAGAGCAAAGGGAAGCTGCTGAAGGGTTTGAAATAGATAACTTGAGAGTTATTTGCATGACTTCTTAGACGAGAATGATTAGAATCTCTTTAATGACTTATATATCCCTACCCCCACAAGGTCTTCCATAGGCCTTGCATTGAGGAGACATTCAATAAAAACTTTAGTTTGATCCACATGAGTGCATTGTATTTGTGAACATCTTCACTCACATGTTTCAGTTGACTCTGATGACATTCCTGGGGAAGAGCCAGGATGAACATCCCTATCACTATATGATTGAAATCCAAGAGGACAGCTTGTCAAACATCACACGGCCAGTGTTTGTCAGTGTTGTCATTAGAACCTGGGTGTCCTGGCACCCTCACCTCCTGACCCTTCCCACTGAAGCAGTCCCTTCCTTCCTTCATCTCTCCTCCCAAGTGATCAATTCAGATACAAACTAGCATCATTACCAACAGCATGCTACAGCTCCCTTAAATAAGCAGCTAATTTCATTTGTATAAATATGAACGATTTGACCTCAGTACTCTCTAAACATACTCTATTTGAATGGCATTACCATACTATTAGATCGTGGCTGTAAACTTTTTTGTTCAAATTTTCTTTACTTTACTATTTTTAGACTTCTTCATTTATCTCTTCTCTTTATCTGAGAGAAGTCAATAATCTCCCACTATGATAGAGCTGTCTATTTCTTCTTTTGGGTTTCTGTTGATTTTTGCTTTATATATCTTAAGTCTATGCCATTAAGTACATGAAAGTTTAGAAGCATTACATCTTCCTGATGAATAAAATCTCTATTATTACATAGTACTCTATTTACCTCTAGTATTGCTTCTGGTCCCAAACTCTATTTTGTCCAATATCGATATAGGCTCTGCCAGGTTTTTTCTAGCAACTATGATGTATCTTTTCTAAACTTTTTATTTTCAAACTTTCTGTACCTTTATGTTTTAGGAATGCTATTTCAGAAGTATATAGACGAATTCCTAAACCAGTTATCCAGTTGTTATCTAGTACTCTAGTTCTATATTTTTAGGGGGAACAGGGGCTGATGATTCTCTTTACTTTTTTTAACTTTTTCTTCTGAACTAATTTTAGACTAAAAGTTACAAGAGCAGTACAAAGAAATCCCTTCACCCAGATTCCCTAAATATTAACATTTTACCACATTTGCTTGTATCATTCTCTCTCCTTCACATACATGTACATACACATTAATTTTTTAGAACCTTTGAGAGTGGAGTGGGAGAAAAAAAAAAACCAGAAAACCTTTGAGAGAAGTTCCAAGCATGATACCATTTTAGTCCTAAATATTTCAATGTGCAGTATCACCAAGAGAATTAGAAAATTGGCAATGACACAACTCTATTTAATCTAACCTATAGATCTAATTCTTTTTCTGGTTGATCTAATCAATCTCTGCACAGGAGTGGGGGGATATTTTTATAGTCCAGGATCGAGTCTAAGTTCATACACTGATTTTAGTTGCCATGTTTCACTAGCCTCCTTTAATCTCAACAGCTCTTCGCTCTTTTTTTTTTGTCTTTTGTGACCTTGACATTTTTGACTAGGATGTCCCTCAATGCAGGTATGCATGACGCTGCCTCATGATTAGATTTGGGTCATGCCTTCTCGGCAGGAATACTAGGGAAGTGATGTTGTGCTCTCAGTTCACCATATCAGAAGTTATATAATGTTCAACAGTCATTTCTCCAAAGAAGACATACAGATGGCCAACAGACACATGAAAAGATGCTCAACATCACTCATCACCAGGGAAATGCAAATCAAAACTACAGTGAGAGGGGTGCCTGGGTGGCTCAGTCATTAAGCGTCTGCCTTTGGCTCAGGTCATGATCCCAGGGTCCTGGGATTGAGCCCCACATCGGGTTCCCTGCTCAGTGGGAAGCCTGCTTCTCCCTCTCCCACTCTCCCTGATTGTGTTCCCTCTCTTTCTGTCAAAATAAATAAATAAAATCTTTTAAAAAAAAAACAACTACAATGAGATATCACTGTATCACTGCACACCTGTCAGAATAGCTAAGTTCAAAAACACAAGAAACAACAAGTGTTGGCAAGGATATGGAGAAAAAAGAACCCACACGCATTGCTGGTGGGAATGTAAACTCATGCAGCCACTCTGGAAAACAGTATGGAATAAGTTAAAATTAGAGTTTCCAGAAAACACTCTGGAAAAAAGTTAAAAATAGAACTACCCTGTGATCCAGTAATCACACTACTGAGTATTTACCCAAAAAATGCAAAAACACTAATTTGAAGGGATACATGCACCCCGATATTTATTGCAGTATTATTTACAATAGCCCAAGAAACAGACTCTTATTAAGAACAAACTGATGTTACCAAAGTGGAGGTGGGTGGGGGGAAGGGTGAAACAGGTGATGGAGATTAAGGAGGGCACTTGTGATGAGCACTGGGTGTTGTACGGAAGTGCTATACACTATACTGTACACCTGAAACTAATCTAACACTGTATGGTAACTATACTAGAGTTAAAATAAAAACTTAAAAAAAATGTTCACTATAAGCTGCAAAACAGAGAAATAAAGAAATATCTTTAAAGGCTTTTTAAAAGCAAACAACAACAACAAAAGCAACAACAAAAAAAGTTCTATGATGTTGACTGGTCTCGCTACTGGTCCTGTCGATTGCAGTCACCTGATTAAGGGAATGCCTGCCAAGTTTCTCCACTGTAAAAATACCTATCTTTCCCTTTGTACTACTAAGTATTTTGTGGGGAGTTCTGTCTTTTCTAGTCCAATACACTATTCATAATTACTATTGTTTTAATTAATGAAATTTTATCTATATTGGCATGTGCTTTCCGAGTTTATTGATCCACCATTCATTCTCTACTTTTAGATCTATCTTGGGTCACTTTCCTTCTGCCTAAACCATGTCCTTTAATATTTCCATTAGTGAGGGCCTCTTGGTGACAAAATCTCCCAATTTCTATTTGTCTGAAAACACTTCTATTCTTCCCTCATTCTGGAAAGATCTTTTTATGGGATATACAATTCTAAGTTAATAGTTACTTACCCTAGAGCACTGAAGATAGTGTTTTCTGGCTTCTACTGTAGTTGAGAAGTGAGCTAATGGTTTAACTGTTCTTTCTTCTAAAGTAGTATGTCTTCTCTTTCTGCCTGTTTTAAGATTTTTCTCTCTGCCTTTGCTATCATTATGGTGTGCCTTGGGTGGATTTTTTTTCATTTATTCTAATTAGGATTTTGTGGACTTTCCTAATCTGAGGTTTAGAGTCATTTTCACAATTTCTGAAATTTGTAATTATCTTTTCAAATGTTATGTCTGCCTCATTCTTTTTTTTTTTTCCTAGGAATTCTCATTGGATTAAAACTAGATTTTATTACTTCATCCCTCCCCCTCCTATGTTTTAAGTGCTCCATCTCTGGGTCCTGTCTTGCATTCTGGATAATTTCTTCACATCTCTTCTAGCTCTTCTCTTCTCTCCTCAGTTGTGTCAAATTTGCTATTAATTTCTTTCAGCATCCTTAATAGGTTTGACTTTTATCTGTTGTTTTGCCTAGCTCCTCCTATTTTGTTTCTTTGTGGAATCTGTGATTTTTGACTGTGAGCCAATATTTCTTATAACTTTTCTCATGGGACTCTATTGAGACCTGGATCATCCAAAGTAGATTTACATTTGCTTCTGACAGGCATCTAAGGCACCACCAATCCAGGACCAATTTAAGCTAAGTTTTCTGTATTTAGCTTTCTGGGACCATCTAGGAACTACAAAATCAGTCTGGGAGTAACTGTGAGGGTCAGTTCATTGCCGTCAATTTTTAGGAACTGTTTTCTCCTACACTTAGCACCAAGGCTTGCTCAAGCCAGATCAACTTTTCTTTGTACTCTTCGAGTAGGTAGTGGGCAAGTTTACTACTAGTTTCCCGTCTAGGGTCTCAGCTTTAGGAAGGGGTTCCCCTGTTTATATGAATCCTGGGCTTTGTCTTTTGTCTAAGAAAACTAAAGTTCATAGTCACTGGGTTCAGTAAATGCCATCAAGGTGAGCCTTAAATCCGGGGCTCTACTTCTTTCTCATAGCTCCTATTTTCACTTAGTTTCTGGCCTCTAAGTAGATTTTTCATATTTATTACTTTTTAAAAAAAATATAAGGGCACCTGGGTGGCTCAGTTGGTTGGGCGACTGCCTTCGGCTCAGGTCATGATCCTGGAGTCCCGGGATCGAGTCCCGTATCGGGCTCCCTGCTCAGCAGGGAGTCTGCTTCTCCCTCTGACCCTCTTCCCTCTCGTGCTCTCTATCTCTCATTCTCTCTCTCTCTCAAATAAATAAATAAAATCTTTAAAAAAAAATAATTTATCATGGGGCATCTGACTGGCTCAGTCAGTGGAACATGAGACTCTTGATCTCATGTTGTGAGTTCAAGCCCCAACATTAGGTGTAGAGATTACTTAAAAATAAATCCTGAAAAAAATACACACACACACACACATATATATATAAAATTTATCCAGTATGAAGATCAATCACAGAACCTACTCGAAAATTGCTGGAAAAAAATGTCTCATTTTACAGATGAGGAGCGAGAGGTTCAGAGAAGTGTAAGCAACCCACGAGAAAACACAGCACAATTAAACAGTAAAGTAGGGATTGAATCCAGGCAGAGACACTGAAACATATATTTCAAAACTAACATCTCATTTATACAAATTTATTTCATGAATTAATCTACATGTAGATTTGCTAATATCAACTTGGATATCTGAAGAGTGAAACATAAATCTTAAGATTATTTCCTATCACAATCTTGAGGAAGCAGGATGGAAAAAGAATTAATTATATTAAAATTTCCTTCATTCTAATAAAGTTAAAAAATACCTAAAACTATTTGTGTATGTGTGTGTATGTGTGTGCGTGTGTTATACTTGATGGTGGTGATCAGCAAATACTGCAAATCATAAATGCCCAGTGGGGACAATCTGAGACCACCAGGTTTTGTTACATTTTAAACAAACATTTCCACATATGGAATTGGGTTTTAATTCTCAGTGTGCAGTTATCACTATGTGTGAAAGAATATGCAAATCCTAGTGAAGACACTCAGCCTCCCAGCCATCTAGTTCCTCTTCTCAGGAGTAACCACTGCTAATAGTTGTTTCAATAACTTTTAAACTATATTACAACTCCACAGCTGAAGACATAAAGTTTTCAATTATTGGTATTTGTGCCATGGGCCAAATGAACCCTTGTCACTAGATGGCCCCAATCCAACTTTCACATCGAATTCTTCCCATCTGTTTATATGGACCAGACATGTATCCAAGTTCTCTCCTCTCCCTTACACAGACAATCACTATGCACCAGGGATTAGCATCCATATTTCCTACTTTCAGTTCCAGATTCTACTTGGATAATTTATCTCTCTGATAATGATAGGAGAGATTTCAAATATACTGCTTCCATAAAGAATCAACAAAACTGAAACACAAATAACCTGCTATCACACTAAGCATATCCTGAACTTACAGGTATTGTGCAGCTGTCTGAATCCCGAGACGTAAATGCAACGTTGCCTAAGTGAAGGATGCCAGCAAGTATTCGGAAAATTCCCATCTGATAAGACTCACTAATTCCTGAAACAGAGGAAATGAACAAGTGATTATAAACCATTACAGCAGCCAATGTTAAGCCTATTTTTAACTCTTGAATATTGCCAGATGTGCAGATGGTAACATGTCATGGTTAACCACACCTTCATCTTTGTTGCTATCAGCATGTAACAGAGTGTAGCATCATGGTTGGGAGCATGGGCGGGATGTGGAGGGAGCGAGAACTGGGCTCAAGGGCTGGCGCTGCTTCTGACCTGCCATCTCACATGGGCACGGAACATCACCCTTCTATGTTTCTGTTTTCTCATTTAGGATACGGGAATAGTAGTGACTATCTCAAAGGGCATCCATGAACATTAAATGAGAAAATGCATGTAGTCGTTTAGTATACTTAGCACGCTGTGGGACACATAGTAAATGCTAAACAAATTATCATCATCATCACACCCTGGATTTAAGTATTTTACTAACATTATTACCTTTTCTATTTACTCCAAATGCAAGTGGTAGCCCAATAAGGCTATTTTAAGTCAGATTATGTTAATTACTTCTTCTAACTACAGACCAAGTATAAGCTAAAGAGATCCCGAGATGGGAAGTGTTTGGGCTCATGTTGTACCCAGCTTGATGAGGGAACATCTAAATGCAGCATTAAAGCAGCAACTGATGGATGAGGCAGGATGAGAAAGCTGGACAGCCTTGACATTTTCTCAGATCCGGTTTCCTTTTTCAGTAAGGTAAGACTTTCCTGAATATTATATATAATTATATAGAAGTAAAAATAGTAAAATTATTTCCAAATATGTAATCATATACAGGGTAACTGAGAGTTGATCTTATAATAAATGTTCTAACTATCTCCTAATTATGGCTTTTACAAACTTGTAATTTTCTATTTACAAATAGATTTAGCCCTAGAAGTATAGTAGTATTTTTCAAACTTTAATGTGCATACGAGTCACCAATGGATCTTGTTAACATGCAGATTCTGAGTCAGTAGGTCTGAGATGGGGCTTGAGTTTCTGAATTTTTGCAAGCTCCACTATGGTCCTGGACCATACTCTGATTAGCAATGCTTTTAAATTAAATTAACTCACCTCATAGTACTCATCAAGATCCCAACACATGATGTTATTTATTTATATTTTGAGGGTTTTTTAAAAAATTTTATTTATTTGACAGAGAGAGAGCACAAGCAGGGGGAGCGGCAGGCAGAGGGAGAAGCGGCAGGCAGAGGGAGAAGCAGGCTCCCTGCTGAGCAAGGAGCCCCATGCAGGGCTCCATCTCAGGACCCTGGGATCATGACCTAAACTGAAGGCTTAGATGCTTACATGCTTAGATGCTTAACCAACTGAGCCACCCAGATGTCCCTATATTTTGAGGTTTTTAAAATAAATAATTCACCACTAAAAGTTGTACATTGCAGTTCTAAAGATTAATTTACTTGCAGGTAGACTCCATATTTTTTAAATCTCAGAAACAAGACAGTGACATCTGAGCCATTTTTTAAAACACTGGAATAATCTATATGCAATACAGTGTTTTGTCACTACACCAGCTCAACCACATTTCCCAACCACAAAAGACCAAAAAAAGGCAAAACAAACAAACAAACAAAAAAACAAAGGCGAAAACCCTATAAAATGTGAGCTTGTTCAGGAACCCATTTCATTTAGCTTTAGGTTTCAGATTTTGTGAAAATTTAAACAAAGAATTAGTTAGTCCCACCTCCCCTAATGCCCTCAATTTGTTCTTTAAACAGCTTTATTGAAGGATAATTTGCATACCATAAAATTCACCTGTTTTAAGTATACAATTCAGTGATTAGTTGTACAACCATTACTACAATCAGATTTTAGAACAGTTCCCATCACCCCAAAAAGAAACCTTGTGCTCATTTGCTGCCCAAAGGTGTTTTATAAGGAATGAATATTAAATCTCCCAACACTCACCACCTAATACAAAGCTAAGCAAATATTCCAAAACAAAAATTGCTTGAATCAGAGAACTATTGCTCCTAAGAGCTCAAAAATAAAACTGTTACCTAGCAGAGTGCAGGCCTGCCTGGTATGTGCCATCTCCTTGGTATCATCAACTCCTTCAATCACAGGACTGCCACCTTGCTTCGTGTAATGAAAGTTATTTGCATTTCCTGCAATTAACGAAAATAAAAGATTTGCAGTGTATGAAAAAGCCTTGACTCCTACCCTCATGTCCACTCTGAAGCAGAGACAGTGATAGCCTGGTTAACTGTATGGAGTCTGGAGTTCGACTGCCTGTGTACTCATCATTCATCTTAAACAGGTATCAATTCAAGGCCAATCCTGCTCCATTTATGCAGCTGTTCACCCTTTCCCCCTCCCCAGGTTATCGTGAAGCCAAATGCAGACTTCTTATCATTTTATTCATAAATATTTTAGTATAAGATAATCCTCTTTTTAATAAGCTTATGAACTCAGGAATTAATGGAAAACAATACCAGAACAATAAATCTAACACCAAATTCATACCTAATCGCAGCATTTTAAATTCAGGTAACTTTGCTGAAGCACAAAGCTGATAGAAGATATGATAGTTTCTCTCCTCTTCTGCCTTTGAAATAAGAAGAGTTTTCAATTATAGCATTTTAACCTAAAACTCAGAAAATTCAATCATAAAATAAGCTTAAGATTTTTTTATTATTATTATTCATTTGAGAGAGAGAGACAGAGAGAGCACAAGCAGGGGGAGAGGCAGAGGGAGAAGGAGAAGCAGACTCCCCGCTGAGCTGGGAGCACCCCCCCCACCCCGACACAGGGCTCAATCCCAGGACCTGAAGATCATGACCTGAGCTGAAGAAAGATGCTTAACCATCTGACCCACCCAGGTGCCCCAAAGTTTTTTAAGATTTATTTATTTGAAAGAGAGAGAGAAAGAGAGTGGGGGGAGGGGCAGAGGGAGAGAATCTCAAGCAGACTCCCCACTGAGCATAGACTAGGGGCTCCATCCCACAACCCAGAGATCATGACCTGAGCTGAAATCAAGGATCAGATACAACCGACTGAGCCACCCAAGCGCCCCCATAAAATAAAATTTTAATATTTAATTATCTCAGTGTAATAAGTTGTCCCTCCCTAAATTTCCTAATATAGGTTTATGATTGTTAAATCTTATGATTTATTAGCTATGTGCATATATGTATGAATGTGTACCTGTTGGTCACATTGAACAAAAATTATCTGATAATGATGTTTTTTGAAGTAAAGAACAGTTTGATATATGCTATTGTCATAAGAGATTATTGCCTTTGGGGAAAACTAAAACCATGTTTTTGAAATATAGGTATCCCCTGCTTTTCTAAAGTTCGCACTACACCACTTCATTTTTGCAGAAGGCCTACATTACCATCTGCTTTGCTAACCAAAAGAAATCCAAAGAGGATTTTTTACAGAAAAGCAAAAACTAGTGTTTAGCAGTTATTTTGCAATGAGCCACTAAAGAGGCAGCACACCCCTAGCAGCGACCATGGGACCGCCAAGCTCCTTCCCCGGGAACTACAGCCAGCATCTCAGCGTCAAGCTGCCATAGCTTTGAACTCTGTCTGTGAGCATCTGTGCTTTATCTCGATTTATTTTGTGCATCTGTTAGCAAGATGTGTCCTAAGGTATTAGAAAAGCCTAAGAGAGGTTATTTTTGGGGTCTGGGGATGCTCAGAAATTTTTCCATATAAATTAATGGTAATTTTTTATTCATTTTACACCATTTCAGCTTACAAAAGGTTTCATAGGACCAATCTACTTTTGGGAAAAGGAGGTAAACCTGTACTCAGTATTTTCTCATAGTACCTCTCAGGTTCATGGTCTTCCTAACACTTTAAATGAAAAAGGATATTCTAGCTTTGCCCTATGTCAGACCAGATCATCTACTGGTTGTTTGTAAGAAATCCACAAATGCACTACATCATCTATATCATTTTAGTTTATACATTTTAACATCAATAAAACATTTTACAAAATGTATAATTTTAATATATGTATACATATTATACATGTATAATTTTAATATAATTTCTTAGTATTTCCTAACAGTCCTTTTTCCACATACATACTTTAAAAATGCAACTGTAATATGACTGTTCATACAAAACTGAATCCTTATACTCTACCATCATATCCTTGAATTCTGCAGTGTATCCAGCTGACTAAAGCATAGTGTGGCCTCAAGGTCTGGTTTGATGCCCAAAAGGGGCTTATGTCTGGTAAAGGAGATTTTTTAACCTTCACTAATCTATCTAAACAATATCATATTCTAAGAGAGGAGAAGGAAGAAAAGAGGGCAAGGAACTAGGTTCAAACTCAAACTCACTGAAAACATAACCCAATGTCTCCCCTATCAACTAGGAAATATGAGAGTTAAGAGTAAACTAATAACACCTCTTGCGGCGCCTGGGTGGAGCAGTCAGTTAGGCGTCTGACTCTTGGTTTCAGCTTAGGTCATGATATCAGGGTCAGGGGATAGAGCCCCATGTCAGCTTGTGCTCAGCACTGAGTCTGCTTGGGATTTTTTCCTCTCCCTCTGACCCTCCCCCTGCTCACATACACACTATCTCTCTGAAAGAAGTAAAAAAATAAAATCTTGAAAAAAAAAAAACGAATAGTACCTCTTTTTAACTAAGCTTTTCCTACAACCATCTGCAGGAAAAAATCAAAACCATTAAACCTAAACCAATGCCCAGTCCCCCAGATTATTAGTCTAATGGGTACTGCCCTGCCTCTGACAGGTACCATTTTACAAATTTCAGCCCAAATGTGGTTTGTAGTAATATTGTCATAATATGCCCAAGAGTATCTGCAAATAAAATGCATACCAGCAAGCATGAGCTCTAGAATTATAGGCAATCTAACACAAATACATATGTGCACCTGCCCGGCTTACCTGGAATACCACTCTGGATTTCTCTAAAAGATAAGTTCTCATATTGGCACCAATGATTCGGTATCTCTTATCAAAACCAATTTCAATATACTTCCCAAAACGGCTGCTATTATCATTCCTGGTTGTCTTAGCATTTCCAATGGACTAAGAAGCAAGGGGAAAAAATAGTATTTTAGAAATACAGTTCATGACATGACATTTACAGAGTCTGTTCGGGGAAAGAAAGGACAGAGTGTAACACAACACTTTAAAACTGATTCTTTTAAGACCTGAACCAATCTTGCCCTTGCAGGCACCAGTGTATGCTTTGCCCAATGCACAACCACACGGATACCGACAAATAGTTTAGATCTGCCTTTTCACTCTCACACAAATTATCTTCAGAAACAGCAGACCTGAGCCCAGTGTCTGGGAGGTTTTCACACCATTTGTCGTATCAGAACACACTCATGCAGGCCAACAAAGAAAGAAATGGATGGGGCTGGGGGCTGCCAAAGCACAGGCCCTCTTAGTTACACACTAGGGTTTGCATTTCCGGAAAATTTAGTCTGCTTTATGTAAGTAAGCTAGTTAAGACAAATTAATATTTTTCAAGGAAATATTGCTCTGGTGTTGAGACTCTTTAGCTAGAAGTTTCTATCCACTTATCCTGTGACAACAAAGGCCTAGCTGGACTGGTTATTAGCAGAATCTTAGTAATCACCCATTCAATTCAAAGTCATTTTCAGAAACCAGACACAGTAAAATTTGCCCTTGGGTTTTGACAGATGTATCTAACTTGTAAAACATCTGCCATAGAATTCAGAGAATGTAACTTTCTGCTAAGTTTTTTATATAATTTTAAAAATTAAGACAATGTATGTACTACTTTCTGACTTAGGTAACATGCTTCTAGAAATTTTTCTTCCAAGGCAAAGCAAAAAACATGGTGCAGTTAGAGAAGCAAGTGTTCACATAATGCATGCATTAAATGTTTAATAAAATATTTTATATAAGATTACTATAATTTACTTGTGCAAAGCCTGAGACGATCAGGATTAGTAGACTGAAACCATAGCAGAGAAAGACATGAAAATGCTCTGGAGTGTTAAAAAAGGAATACGAATGTAAGTGATGAAAACAGTAATTACACAGTCACAAAAAAATCAACACATCAGATTCTCTGATCAATCAAAGAAAGCACATTTCACTCTTTTGCTCTGGCAATAACACTGCTATATTTCAGATTAACGTTTTAAATGGAAAGAATGACAGAAAGCTATCTTCCCAGCAAAGTAAGAGTGATCTAGTGTAGCCTAGGACCATTTAACAATGCATTTCCTTAGATATTCCCCTTTTTGATATGACAAAAAGTACAACAAAAAGTCTCCATGTATTCCAATTATTTTTATTTTGTTTAGAAAAGGAAACTAATGATAAATGCAGGATTTTCTTTCAACACAGAATATTCCGTCAAAGAGCAGATGAAGAAGATGTAGTAATTGTGGCAGCAGCAGTTAATAGTCACCGAGTGTTTACCAGGCACCGTCCCAAGCACCTTCCTGCCAGCAACTAAGCAAGCTGGCAAAGGGGGTCCACAGCTTCTCCTCCCTCCCTGACCCCACCCCACCTTCCATATGCCATCTCCCTCCTATCGACTCAGAGTGCGAGTCGGAGTGGCTGAGCTGCCAAAACAACACGACACCCTGTGAGAAGCAGCGGTGAGTAGGCCAGGGTTGAAACAGACGCCTCCCCTCTGCCTTTGAGTAAAAGGTATTTAAACATAGAGCAAAGAATGGTAGAAGGAGTGAATGAAATAGAAGTCTGAAGACCTGGGTATCAGACCAGGCCCTCCTACCAACTTGCCAACATTTAATCCTCTGAGGAACAGTAGTGTCTCCAAGGGTAAACTGACTAGGATAAATGAGCTCTGGGGTCCTTTACAAAACTAGAATTATATGATTACAAGCCTTGAATTTGGCAAGGAAAGAAGGCTCTCTATATAAACAATACCTTTTGTCCATTCCACTTAGTTCCTCCCTCTCCCTTATAAGTACTGTATTTACAACAGGCTCCCTTGATGCTATTTTCATTTCAATTAGCAAGAAATTGTTAATGAAAAAAAAGTTTTGTGGTCTTGATTTCACTATTGATTTCAGTGGAGTGTTGAGCAACTTATTCTTCTTTACTAAAAGGAAGATGAAAATCTTTAACTATGGTTATTAATGTTGTAAAAGAACTATTAAGACCCACTATGACCACAAGAATCTTTCCCTGTCCCCCTCTTAGGATGAAAATGTCCTGGAGGAAAACGAGAAAAAGAAAACATGATAAAATGAGCAAAAAAGAATCATTTATCTGTGCATCATTCATATTTTGCAAAAGGAGCCTATGCTGAGGATGAGGAACTAACTTTCTAAAGGATCGTGTGCAAATCCCAATAGCCACTAGGCTGTGATGTTAACTGTGTAGGATGCTCATTACCCAAGGAGGAGTTTCAGATCATGGAGACCCAGACATGCCATTCTTGACATCACAGTAAAGGGCTCTGATACAGAAACACAGTCTTGAGACAGGTTTAAAGTTACAAACCTTCTAGGCCGCATACTCAGTATTTCATCTATGTCTTCTTCCTATAACTGCAAACCCTTTGTCACCTCTCTTCAGTCCCAGATTCCATTTTGATCTTTCAAACTGGGATGCCCTCATTTGTACTCATCGAAAATTAGTTCTCTCTTTGCCAAATTTTCTTAATCCAAATTCCTATAGAAAAACTACGTAAGAGGGCGCTTGGGTAGCTCAGTTGGTTAAGCGACTGCCTTCGGCTCAGGTCATGATCCTGGAGTCCCTGGATCGAGTCCCGCATCAGGCTCCCTGCTCAGCTGGGGGGTCTGCCTCTCCCTCTGACCCTCTTCCCTCTCATGCTCTCTGTCTCTCATTCTCTCTCTCAAATAAATAAATAAATAAATAAATCTTTAAAAAAAAAAAACAACTACATAACAATATAGAAGGGAATGGCTAAGCATAACTGATGTCTTTATCTTTTTTTGTTCATCCCAGCAAATAAAGTAAATTCCTTATAACTACATATTAAAAACTAAGATCTATGGGGGCGCCTGGGTGGCTCAGTTTTAAGTGTCTGCCTTCAGCTCAGGTGATGATCCCAGGGTCCTGGGATCGAGCCCCGCATGAGGCTCCCTGCTCAGCGGGAAGCCTGCTTCTCCCTCTCCCACTCCCCCTGCTTGTGTTCCCTCTCTCGCTGTCTCTCTCTCTCTCTCTCTCTCTGTCAAATAAATACATAAAATCTTTAAAAAAAAATAAAAAAACAAACAAACTAGGATCTATGGCCATTTTAACCTCCCCTACTAACACAATGCAAATCTGTATTGTAGAAAAAACAATGTAGCATTTTTTGAATGAGAATATAGAAGGTCATAAAATATTCTAGACATATCCTAGAAGGTTCACTCCAGACTTACATTATTATATGGTCCAGCCTAGAAGAGGTGGGATTCCCTGATGCCATCACAATCTAGACTAACATTAGGGACTAATAATGAACTAAACTACTGCCAAATATATAGAATTTGTTGCTGTGACCAAAAATAGTCAAACTAATGATAGGAAGCAAAGCAAAGCCCTGTTGTTTTCTGACCCAAAACCAAAAACTGGCTCTACGGATTCTATCTCCCCAATATTAACAATGGCATCCAGCACTGTATCTATAGCTTAAATTCTTTCAAAATCTTAATACTTGCTTAAAATCTTTACTAGTCTTTTTGGCACACACCTCTGTTCCCCCGGCCCCCCATCTGTGCTATTTCAGAAAACTCCTCCAGTTCTCTCTGCACAGTGCATCTGGCCCAGGCAGCCCTGTAACTCCCCCAGCACATGCTGTCCTCTTGGTTCGAGGACAGAGGTCCTCCCGCTCTGGAGGGCAGCCCTGCAGGCCAGGGGGTCAACATTCTGTTCTCAAGTGTCACACACGGCACTGCAAACCAGGCACAATTACCTCTGGACTGATTATTGCAAAAACCACTTGTACCACAGGTGCACCAGGCCAGTTCTAAACTCCATCTGGGTTTGGGTGACAAATAAGGCTTGACAAAGGAAAAAAAAAAACAGGAATAAAAAATGCTGACTCAAATTTTTAATAAGAAAGGCTTGTTTCTCCCTGTCCCAAATAATTTCTGTTAGTAATGAGAATTACTTTTTTCCATTTAATGGGATTATTTACAAAAATGTGACTTTCCTAAAATCATTTTAATAGATAATTCTCTAGTTAGAAATTCTGAAATACTCAAATTCTCACACAAACAGGTCCACTTTCTTTGACATAAGCATTTCCGCTTTGTATACATATTTTACTTTTGAAAGGACATCCTTTCATAGTTCTTCCTTTCTCAGGAATTTATAGCTACCGAATTTCTTTCTCTAACCTAAAGCTGTGTGATGTGCTTCACAGAAACAAGAAGAAAGTGTTTACAAGATCATGATTTAAGCCTATAGTTCAAATCTGGAAAAAAAAAAGAAACTTACAGCTAAACAGGTTGTAAGTATAGAAAATGAAATGTGGGCAAAGGAATGATAAAATTCATCATACTTGGGTATAGTGAATCCCTATGAACTCAGAAATGGGGGGAAATGAGGAACATACTTCTAGTACAAGGAACAATAAATATGAGTCGATTAACTAGGAGAACAGAGATTTAGAAAATGAGGTACCACTGTCAGTTATTTAGAAGCAACAGTTCAATGGTAGGTTAAAAATGCAGGATTATGGAATAAAGTAGATACTTCTCAAATAGCTTTACTCAACTGGCTACCTTACTAACTTTTTACTTTTCGTACATCTCGTCTTACTAATACGTGCAAAAGTATTTTCTTACTTTTAGCAGCTGGAAAAAGTATTTTCTTACTTTCTGACATGTGCTGTTTCAATAAGTTTTTGAGCAGGATTCTTAAGAGAATATAGTAAGATGGCCAAGGCGGCTCCTCTCTTACCTCCATGATGGGGTTGGAGGCCAAGACCTTTTCCTCAACATTGGCTTCACTGGCAGAACCACTCACAGTTGCAAAGTATCGCATGGCATACTTAGCTGAGACTGTTTTTCCTGCCCCAGACTCTCCACTTACGATGATGGACTGATTTCGTTCATCTCTGTAAAACAAAGAAGAGTAACTAACAGTGCTGCCCACTCCTGAATGTGATGAACATTATTTCTTCTGTGTTCTCATCAGCGAACCATGGTGAATTTCTTCTGGTTCATACATGCAGCAATGTGGGAAGGAACATAAGAATGATATTTCCTATAAAAATAACTATTTACAAACTAGCAATGAACAGAGAGGGAGAAGATGATATCAAGCATCAAATTAGACAGCATCACATCTAAGGATGAATCTGTAATAGAGGGTCTCTGAATTTTTTTGTGTACAGATCTCGAACACATTATTTAATTTCTAGATAATAATTCTGATATATTACAGTGCTGCTGTCAACCACCTTAGAAGAAAAAGTAGCCACAGCAAGGGAATTTAAAAGAAAATCCTATTTAATTAAAATTAGAAATTGTCGGGGCGCCTGGGTGGCACAGTCGTTGGGCATCTGCTTTCGGCTCAGGTCATGATCTCAGGATCCTGGGATCCAGCCAAGCAGTAGGCTCCCTTCTCAGTGGAGAGTCTGCTTCTCCCTCTCCCTCTGCCCCTCCCCCTCATACCTGTCCCCCCTGCTCATGCTCTCTAATAAATAAATAAAATCTTAAAAAAAGAAAAGGTCAAAGGAGTCTCAAGAGTGGCATTCAAGGGACACCTGGGTGGCTCAGTCATTAAGCATCTGCCTTGGGCTCAGGTCATGATCCCAGGGTCCTGGGATCGAGCCCCACATCGGGCTTCCTGCTCAGTGGGAAGCCTGCTTCTCCCTCTCCCACTCCCCACTGCTTGTGTTCCCTTTCTCGCTGTGTCTCTCTCTGTCAAATAAATAAAATCTTAAAAAAAGAAAATTAGAAATTGTCTAGAAGTTAACAGTCCAAGAAGTCATGTCTTCCACAAACTTAAAGATACTGAAAGTATCTTCATTAGCGGAGAATAGGTCATTTACTTGTTGGCTGACGTGTTCAAATATGTCAGAACTCAAAGACTTTCTACTATTCCATCTCTAATTCATTCACACAATGACTCAAAAACTCTAAATGATATACTTGTTCACAAGATTATCATTTCTTTGAGGATTAAGACCTAAATCATGTTTATCTTTAATATCCAGCATCTAGTGCAGAGCCTGACACATCACAAATGCTCAATAAATGTGTATTGCTTACAAGTAAATAGAACTTCAATGAGCAACCTAGCCTAAGAATAAATCTGGTTTTTTTATTATTTATTTATTTGAGAGAGAGAGATCACTAGAGAGACAGAGCAAGCACAAGTGGGGGAACAGAGGGAGAGGGAGAAGCAGGCTCCCCACTGAGCAGAGAGCCCGACGCAGAGCTGGACCCCAGGACCCTGGGATCATGACCTGAGCCCAAGGTAGATGCTTAACTGACTGAGCCACCCAGACGCCCCTAAATCTCTCTGCTTTGACTACGATTTCTACTAGGACAGAAGTAGGAAACTGCCACTTCCTGAGATGGTACCAGCAATTAACTTTTCATCAAAATAACTGAACAAGCACATAAAGATGGTATTATTTGTGCCCTTAATTTACAAAGAGACTGGATCAGGATGACTTCAAAGGTTTTTAGTGGAACTATCCTATAAGGCCACAAGATGGGAAAGTTATTCTACTATGGAAGACGATCTTTTTATCTTTTAAAAGAGAGTTATTTATCCAACAATATTTATCAAATACCTACTACATGCCAAACATTGTGCTAAACACTAGGGATACAAATTAAATAAGCTGTGATCTGCGTCCTCAAGTGGCTAATGGTCTAACAGGAAAGAGAGACTAGTAATTTGAGATTGTAATACATGTGATGGGGCAAGGAAAGGAGGAAGAGGTGATCAGGAAAGGCTCCCTGAAGAAGATACCAGAACGGTGCCTGGGTGGCTCAGTTGGTTAAGCGACTGCCTTCGGCTCAGGTCATGGTCCCGGAGTCCCGGGATCGAGTCCCACATCGGGCTCCCTGCTCAGCGAGGAGCCTGCTTCTCCCTCTGACCCTCCCCCGTCTCATGTACTCTCTCTCTCTCTCCTTCTCGCTCTCTCAAATAAATAAATAAATCTTTAAAAAAAAAAAAAAGATACCAGAACAAGGTCTGGAAACATAACTAGGAAAAAGTAAGCAAGGGATGCGGAAGTTAGAAAGGAAACATTCCAGGGAAAGGAGATAACATAAATGAAAGCTCAGATGCACAAGAAGTTAGGAAAGAGCATATCATTCAGTTTGGCTGGAACACGGAGTAATGACGGATAAGGTTGTAGAGATGACCAAGAACCTGACCATAAAGTTCTAACGTGAGATGTTAAGGAATCTGAAGTTTACCTAAAGGCAATGGAGCGCCATTCAACAGAAAACAGCACAATCCAACCAGTAAAATCACTCTGGCAGCAATGTGGAGTATGAGTGCCAAGGGTCCAGATGAAAACTTACAGAAGTCTGAACAAAGGTTGTGTCTGTCCTGATTGAGAGAGGTAGAGAGCTTTAAGAGACACCAAAGTGGTAGAATCCACAGTCCTAAGCAATAAATTTCCAAAGTAGAAATTCAGGACTTCTCCAAGGAAAAGTTTCTTTTTCCTTTGAGAAATGAGGGTAACTGTCTTATTTTATAGACCTTGAAAAATACAGTGAGAGTAGAGCAACCTGTTCCTGACACTCTGACTCCCATATTGTGGGGAAAATCAGGAGGACCTAGGTGACACACTAAGGAATGTTTAAATTTTATAGTACAAGCTTGCACGTAATCCCTGTTTTTATGAAACATCATTGAACCTCATACGCACCATCTCATTTTCTTTTTATTTGAATTTCTAGACAGAACTGGACACACCCATTGCCTCTGTTCATTCATAGCTGACTAAAACATAAATCATCTAATAAAACAGTTCTCATTGTGGTGCCAGTGTCCTTTCTTTTAGTCGTTTAAAACGTCCTCAGAATTCACTTTTTTCTATACATTCATTAATCAAGGTACAGTATCAACAGTTTTTGGGTTGTCTTCTACAATATGATTAGAAAAATGATCTCTTCCCAATTCCTGCATGATCAGTTGTCACCACCCCTTGTGTGACAGCACTCCTTCCAACAGCAGACAAGGTGGGGAGGCTTCTGCTAGTCTGATGAAAATATTAATGGGAACTGCTATTTAAACTGTACTGTATTTGAAAGGCTATTTCAAGTCTTAATATCAAAATGTATCAAAAAGTCTAAAAATTCATATAGCTCTTTCCTATAATATAGGGAAGAATAAAAATATTAAAGGCAGTAAGATCAAGGCTTGTTCAAATGAACCAGAAATTTATACAACTATGTACATATGTACACTGACCTCAAGCACATGCCATATACATTTTCTTTTCCAGGATTTAGGATCCTGGATCCATACGATCAGTCGTTTTTAAGTTTTTTAAAGGACTTTATTATTCTTTTTATATTTCCCTGACTTTCTGGCAGAGTCTTCCCTTTTCTCCCAAGCTTCGTAGACCATTCCAATATATAAATAAGCACCACTCTTCCATCATATAAAAGCTCCTCTGAATCAAGGCTTTAATCCTAGATCTGTCATTTACCAGCTACACAGCTTTGAGCAATCGCCAAGACCTCTCTGGTTCACAGTTTTCTCATCCTTAAGATTAAACAGTACCCAGAGTCCTTCTCAAATTCTAAAGTACTATCATCTAAAAGTCTAACTCTGGAGTTGTTTTTCAGATATTGGATGAACTATAACTTGCAATCTAAGCCAGGGTAAACTCTTGGGGCCAAGGACAATTGGGTAAGGATAGGCCTACAGATACTCAGAAGGTCTTGAGTGGCCATATTTAAAATGGGCAACATTTCTTCTCTGGAGGACCCCTCAATTTGAGAGGACCAAAATCAATAAAGGGCTACAAAGAGTAAAAATGTAAAATAACCAATTTACCTGCTTTTAAATTAAACGCAGGAAGTAGAAATCTTTATAAAATAGGTACAATAAAGTCTTTAAAATGTTCTTCAGTTCTATGTGGCTATATAGGAAGAAATGCCAAAAAGAGAGAATAAGAGGAGAGCTAGGTAGAAATGGGAAGCCAAGCAGAGACAGAGACGAGAGAAGGATAAGAGATAATAAAGACACACAAAAGGAAAAACGAGAAGGGTATGACAGCGATGAGGAGAAAACAGACAAAAACATCAGGGATAGAAATTTTATGGTCCACACTTGCTTATCCTGTACACAAAAATAAACCCCAAATGGATTAAAGACCTAAATTTGAGACCTGAAACCATAAAATTCCTATTAGAAAACACAGGCAATAATCCCTTTGACATCAGCCATAAAAACATTTTTCTAGATATGTCTCCTTTGGCAGGGGAAACAAAAGCAAAATTAAACTATTTTTATTTATCAAAATAAAAAGCTTTTGCACAACAAAACAAAAAAGACAACCAACTGAATGAAGTGATCTGCAAATGATATATCCAATAAGGAGTTAATATTGAAACTATTTAAAGAACTTACACAACGCAACACCAAAGAACCCCAAATAATCCAATTTAAAAATGGGCAGAATCCATGAATAGACATTTTTTCAAAGAAGACATTCAGATGGTCAACAGACACATGAAAAGATGCTTACCATCACTCATGATCAGGGAAATGTAAATCAAAACTATAATGAGGCATCATCTCATACCTGTCAGAATGGCTAAAATCAAAACCACAAGAAATAAGTGTTGGCAAGGATGTGGAAGAAAAGAACGCTTGTGTACTGTTGATGTGAATCCAAGCTGGTGCAGCCACTGTGGAAAACAGTATGGAGGTTCCTCAAAAAGTTAAAAATAGAATTACCCTATGATCCAGTAATTCCACTACTGGGTATTTAGCCAAAGAAAATGAAAACACTAATTTGAAGAGAAAGAGAGAGAGAGGGAGAGAGGGAGATTCACTCCTATGTTTACTGCAGCATTATTTACAATAGCCAAGATATGGAAGCAACCCAAATGTCCATCCACAGATGAATGAATA